AGAATTTCCTAAATAATTATTTATATTGTTTTTTAATGTTTACAGTTAATATAATTATATTAATATATCATATATATATTACCTATTAATTCTGCTGGTTTATTTGCTCTTTGATTAATAAAAGCCTCGAAAGCTTCTTTTAAGCTATTTGCAAATTTTTCATTTTTATGAAAGCATGTATTAACTATATTATCCATTTTATCTTTAAAATCTAAAAGTTCCTGTACCATTGTTTTATCTTTTTCTGGATCTATAACTATCGTTTTGCCTTTTTTCTAAAAAAAATATTTAAAAAGATGACATTTCATAATTTTGTTCATTATACATATTTAAGATCAATTGCTAATGTAACAAAAACGTACTTTGATATAACAATTAAAATTCAAACACAGCTCCACAAGGCCATTTTTTATCCGACTGTATAAGTTGTAAAGTAATGATAAATCGCTAATTCTATTTTCATCCAACAACCCACTTAAGCCTTTCTGTAAAATACTAGTAATATGTTCAGACAGTAATTGTTTTTCTACAGTATGTATGAGTGACCATCTGAAAATATAATTAATTTTATGAAATTGTATGATACTCTATTTAATTACTGAATTATATATGGTATATTATAATTATACACACGATAGCAATAAAAAAAACTTACTTAGTCGACGTATCAAGATAATGCAACAGTCGTTCGTTCTCTTCTTGCAAACGTTTATCCACATGAGCTAAATATTCAGGAACATCATGTTCGTTCATCAATCGTAGACCTTCGGCAGCATACAATCTTTCTGTAGCCACTAAAAACCTAAATAAAATAATTATAATAATTCACATATTGAAATATTTGCAGTGGCAAACAATACTATAAAATAAAAATAAATACATTATCTATAATCGTAAAAGTTATATCAGCTTGTTATTACTAATTGATATTAATGTACATGCTAATAATGTCAATGATGTCAATGACAATGAATCAACCGACAATATATAGATAATATTAGATTTATCATAACATACTTCGTTTCGAAGGCCTCTTGGTAGATTTGTAGATCCGACAACATTCTCAACAATGATTTGAGAAGCGTTCGATCTACAGTATCACCTTGTCGTTCCTTTTCTATGAGCATAAGAAGACCCTCAACGGTACGCGTTTGCACTAAACTATTCAGCACAATGTGTAATCTGAAAAGATGCAATCCCATATCCCTGAAAGAAGAGATTAAATGAAGTGTATGAATCATTAATTGTGAGATTTATTTCTGACAATATTTTTGCTTTATTACCATATCGATGAAATGCTCGGGTTTTGTAAAACATATGTCCTATCAAGATACAGAAAGATGCTCCTGATCATTATCATTTGTCTACAATGTGATTGCCAGCATTCATTCATTTTCTTCAAAAATATATGTCTGTCCATAGATTCCGCCAGAAACTGCTCGATATTAGCTTTTACATGAGATTCCGTCAGAATAGTTAAATTTGAGTAAAGTGTTGATGCCATTTTATGATTACACATATTTTCAACTGCCTGGTAAAGTTCTTCCAAAGAATAGCGGATACTTTTGCTGGTTTGTATAGCAACCACAGCCTCCTGTAATTTTTCCCATGTTTCTTCTTGATAGTTTTCTGGTAATTTAGGTTTACCTATAAAAGAATTATTATATTACAAACTAAGTAAAGCAATAGAATAAAATTTAGCATATTTCCAATATTTTTCAAGAAACTCTTTTAGAAAACATTTCCTACAGTTAAATTTCTCATAAATTAATTTCTTCAAAGTTAATGAAAATAATTTTATATAATATATTGTAGCAGCATATAAAAGCACATATATATAATAAAAATTATATACAATATATGTATATTAAAAAAATTTAATTTATTCAAGCACATAATTTTAAGATATTACTTTCTTATGCTATTTAATTACGAAATCGTAGTTCTCTCACATTATAATGCATGATCTACATAAACGCAAGAAAGGCGAAATGTCAAGTCAAACTTAATTATCCATTTATAGATTTCTACATTGATAGATTGTAACATTATTGCAACAATTATCTATAAATAGACATTTAACGCGTCAATGTGTTTTCCATGTAAGTCACATCAAATCACATAATTAATTTCAAAGAACTGCATGATTTGGCAATACAAAAAAGCAAAGCTAATCTATTGAACTATTATTATGATTTACAGCTTAGGTTATGTGTTGTTTAATTAAGTATGACGCAAGAAAATGACTTTAAATCTACGAAGTGCAGCCTAAAAAATTTAAGTTGTCTGAAGCAAAAAAAAAAAAATAAAGGACAAGAAATAAAAAAAACAAAGAACAAGAAAGGAGTCGAAACATTCTGGGGCTCGCTGTACTCGCGAGACGAAGCAGCTGATGTTTGAGGTTAGGTCAAGATCGGTTAGCGTGCCGCGTCCGGTAACTTACTTCTGAAGTTCTTGATGACGAGCTTCTTTGCAGAACCGGGTTTCGCATTCGTAAGGCTCGGCGATATTTTGCTGACGCCGTTCGGATTACCGACTGTCAACGCCGAAAAGTTGGCCCGTTTTTGCGTGTCAGCCGCAGCGGCAGCTGCAGACGCCGTATCCGTCATGATGATCTCGTCAACCCTAATCGCGTCGATTTCGTCCGGATGGGCAATGCTCACGGCTGCAGCCAGCTTGCAGCACTCAGCTGCGCTCGCGTACTCCAACACCGCCGTATGATCGGCAGCGGCAGCAACGGTGGCGACGGTGGCAGCGACGGTGGCGGTGGCAGCGGCGACGGTGGCGGCGGTGGCGGCCACCTTCTTCACCCGTCTAACACACAGAAATTCGATATCGCAATGCTTAGACATATGCGCGCATCGTTTGATCGCTCGTCCTTCATTTAATGCAGAGAGACAGAGACACAGCGACACAGCCACATAGCTTCTTTTACTTTGGGCCAAATAATACTGCTCGATTACACATATCAAACAAGAATGTTCCTCCTCTCTCTTTTTCTCTCATACTCAGTATTTCGTTTCTCTCCGCTACTCAGCAGACATGTGTTTACTACATTCTATATACGTATACATTGAGAAAAAAAATTTATTACAGCGCTGCATGTGACAGTGCCATAGAATTAAGAAATTACTGAGGTGATGTAGTGGGTGCATTCAGTCCTACATCTGATTGGGTGCATCCAGAACGTCAACCACTCACTGAGCGCCCAATAAGCTCTTTCATCTGATTGGCATATTCCATTAGATCCTAAAATATGATATTCCAATCAAGTAAGAGCTCACTGAGCGCTTAGTGAGCGATAGTCGTTCTGAATGCATCCATTGGCCTATACCATTAGATCTAAAAATATATAGCAATTAGATATAACCCAATAAGAAGCGACAATGGAATCAATCTTGAATCGATGTCAATTCGATGATATAATTGTTTTATAATAATTAATATAATATAACAATTTGATAAATTATAAAAACTAATAAGATTCCTTATAATAAAATAACTTAAAGAATAGTAATGAAATTAGAGCAATTAGGAATCCATGCTGTAATAGGTATGCTTAAATTACTGGATCAACCTCAGTATACTTGAATGTATTCAACATTAGTATGTATTATACATATACGTTTCAGTTAAATTCTAGTATTCTTCAGTATGACAATGTTGACAATCGGCCTACACACGTAGGAATCTTTGGTTATCACTTATATCGCTATTCGTTAAATCCGATGCAAACGAAATGGTAGGTTACGTACTCGCGAGAGTGACGATCCAGTAAGGAATTATTTTCGTAGCACTCTCGGCAAGTTGGAGAGGAGTTTGTCTCTTTACTTATGTATGACTAGTGTGACGAAAACTTCTTAGTGTACTTTACAGGGAGCTCAGAAAAACTAACGTGATAGCTTCTTGGATTCATCGGGAAGAGTGTTGGACATCTTTCATAAACTTTGGAAGTTCTTCTGATAAAAAGCGTTGCATTAAATCTCTCTTTAAGAAATGATACATAATAATAAAGAGATCCTAGCTGAGATGCTAGATTGTTGTTAAAATTTGCTACTACATCACTACAAATAACATTGGTACAAACTTACTTTTACCAGAGAGAGAAAAAAACCTGAGAGAGAACAGGCCCAATTGACCTGCAACTTTGACCAAAACAACATTGACCAAAAAAACAAGTGTTTTTGATGCCGAAAATGATCGTCGATCGTCAGCATGAAAAGACATCTTAAATAACAATCAATTATGAATGCTTTCCATTTGATGACACAAGTCGACATTAGCATCGTTCTATCTTTGTTGACATTCAGAGAGTGACAAAGATAGAATGACATTTGTCGACTTGTGTCATCAAATGGAAAGCACCCTGTGTTCATTTGCTCGGCCTCATTGAGCGCGTTCAAGTTGACAAAGCGGCTAGCCTGCTCGAGTAAATGAACATAATTGATTGTTACTTATAGATCCAACCAATCATATACAATCGCTCGGTAAGCCTAGTCGTCGTTTACCGTCTTAGAAACTGTTTCCAATGTTCTTTTTATGTTTAAGCCCGTTCTACAATTACGTAAGCATTGTAAGTACAATAGTATAGTTAAAAGAATTGATCAATCACAGTCGAATATGAGGAGAATATTCTATTGTGTGATTGGTCAATTCTCGCATCTACATCACTGTACTTACGCGTTTGTAGAATGGATTTTATTTTATTCGAATGTGTCCAAATATTCCAAATGTGTCTTTACGATACACGATAGTAGATCGAAGAAAAATAGACAAATAAATAAAAATATAGAAAAAAAATGTAGCTAAAAGAAAATTAGATTAAATTCTTGCCTTATCTTTATTATGCTTATTAATTCTCTTTAATTTCCTAAAGTTACAAATCCAGTTTCAAGATGCAAACAATTAACGCAATTGTAAAAAACGTCATATTAATTAAGCAATCTGCTAATTCTAGATGTAGTTTGTGAAAGCTTAGTATAGAGGTTATGCAGTTTAGATCATTTAGTACGAATCCTAGCGAGACCTAAGGTTTGACCGGTTTGATGAATGGCAAATGATTTTTGCAATTAGAACTCACTAATAGTACGACGATATTGATTCTTTACTTAAATTGAATAGGACTGAGCTAAATGACTGCTCTGATGACATGAGATAGTATAAAATAGTTGTTAAGAACTGTTTTCTACATTATTACGACTCAGGTTAGTCGAATCTAATGATTTGCAAAATACCATTATTAAGACATTACATATTTATAAAATATATATATTAGGATAGTTTAAGATATTTTTTAAAAGAAAAAGGAATTATCTTTTTACACGTAGCACATTACAATCTTGATTGAATCTTTCGATATTACATAATCATATAAATGAAAAATTTGAAGGTTATCTCACACTTTAGAAATAAGAAAGAAAAATTAGGTTTATTTCGTTAGCTTTTTAGATTAATTGTTCGTAAATAGGTTAACGCAATGATGATTTATATTTATAACACCCTATTTTTTTATTGGTCAAGTTTGTATTATTTTTCCGTTATTTTGTAATTATATAATCGTGAATCGTGCAAATACGCTTTTCGAAAATCTATTTTTGCTCATTCAGAAATAAACTTGAAGTTAACATTAATAGAGCTGTTTAGTGAGTGATGGTAACGGGAATATGTAATACCTCTTTACCGGAATGTATATTGTCATATTATTTTCTAAAATATATAATTTTATTTCATGTACCACTTACTGTTGTATTATTTAATTGGAAAATATTGAGATATAATTCTTAATAATTTACATTCTTGATGCATTGCATTAAAGATTACACATTACATTACATATGACATAGAATATTTTTGAACATCATATTTATATTTATGGATTATATATACATATATTGCTACATTAGTAGATTTGTGTAATTGATTTTTTTTAAATAAGATTTTTGTATGATAGACTAAGTCAAATAATCTTTTATATTTCTCCAGAGATTAATATATTATTATATTATAAAATATATATACATGATCTTAAATTTTATAATATTTATTTATATCATTTTATTTTAGCAAATTATTAACCAATCATTTTTTATTGTTGAGATTAATTTGCTTCTCAAAATAATTGTCATACATTACTGCAAGCATGAGGTATTTATCAGTTTTTTAATTTACTATTTTTTAAATTGTTAATATTTAATTACATTTATCAAAAATATTTCTTGTGCTTTCTTAATTTTAAGTATGATACTTAAATTTAATAATTAATTTAATTAATTATATTTAATATTTAAGTATTTAATATTTTAAATGATAAGAAGATATACAAGAAACATTTGGTGTGTATATATATATATATATATATATAATATATATAAATATGTATTATGACACTTTGATAATTTTGATTTGATTAGTGGCAAAGAAAAAGATTAGTACACCATATGAAAATATATTTTTCTTTTTCTAAAAGTACATATTATATAAAAGATTATTTTTACATTCACTAATTTTTTGTTTGATTTGTAATTTTTTGTTTGAAGAACATAAATCTTTTGCAATAATTGAATAGTTAACTGCTTTCCATTGCATTTTAGTTTTAATTAATAATTTTATATGTTTTGTTGAATTTTTTAATGATACTGTAGCAGTTTAAAAAAGTGAGTGAGTGAATTTTTAATAGATTCGTCCTAATAAAAGAATAAATATTATAGGTAAGTGTATCGAATTTCTCTATTGAATTTCGTATTTCTCTCATGTTTAGTTATATAATTATTACAATGATAGGAAATGTCTAATTATCAATAATAATTAGATTGCCAGAGTATTATCTGGTAATCTAACCACAAAAGTGTTATCTAAAATTGTTATATATATGAAGACCTCATACATGAAATCATCAATAGAGTTAAAATTTATACTATACATTTCTCTTTATACCTAAATAAAACTAGGAATATTATTATAAGACAATAATATAATGAGAAGCAAATGGATATTTCTGCAAGCATATGTATCATTCCCTTACTTTAGAAGTGACATAACTAAAAAATGATTTATCGAATTATTACTTTCATGAGTTAAATATAAACATTATCCTGTTAATTATCAAAAGTAAACTTTATAAAAAGTTACTTTAAAAAAATTGTTGAAGCATAACATCAAAAAGGATGTATTTTAAGAGTTGAGAAATGTAAATGATAAAAATGATACATTTAATGTTAAAGATATATTGTTGCTGAAATTATTTGATTAGTCAATTTTCTGTTAAGTTGAAAAGTAGTTTTTTCCTTTTTCTGAAAAACTTATTTTTTTAAATTGTCACTTTTAAGAAAGCGATATATATACATATATGTATGTATTAAATATATTTAATAATTCCTTTTGTATTTTCACATTACAGAATGTCTTTTCCAAACAAAGAAGAGCGCATGAAGTGCTGGGGTCGCAGGGACGAATATTGGCAATGTCTTGATGAAGGCAAATCTCAAGTGGAATGTATAGAATTTAGGAAACAATATGAAAAATTCTGCCCAACTCAATGGGTAGGTATTACAGACAGTGTTTTTTTGTCAGCATTTCTAAAGATTTCTTGATTTAATGTTTACTTTGTGTATTTTTAATACCGATAATAGAACCTTTTTTTTTACTATCTAACAAGTACTCTTCTATGCCACTTTTATGCAGGTGAAACATTTTGATCGTAAGCGAGATTACTTGAAGTTCAAAGAGCAAATAGAGACGGGGGGGTATGTTCCTGAAGAACCAAAGAAAACATAAGATACTAATCTTTCGATTTTACTGTATTCATAGCAAGTCATGATTGAACTATTAATATTTACTATTAAACAATTAATTTCATACATTATCCATTCGAATGTTTTTGGACATTGTTATTTTTACTTGTTGAATTATAATAAATAAGATGCTTAAAAATAACAAGACAATGGTTTTATTAAACATTCTATTATCCTTAACCGGTATTTTACAGAAGCTCTGAAGTAATTCGTTCTCTCTTTCAAATTTCTACGTTCCAAAATATCATCTCCAATGTACTAAACTCTAATTTAGTAGTTATTTCCATCACAGGCTTTTGTATTATACTTTAACTAATAATTTTTTTGAAAAAAAGTTTTAAAATTTTGTTGCGCAGTTTTTTTGCGACTTTTAATCATAATTTGACTACCTTTATATATCAATTGCCTTTTCTCTTCTCCCTTATCATTGAATCGATCCTGAATTACGAGAACGTGATTACTCTCTATTACTTTCAGGACTTGTCTTGATGGTGGGAAATTGGTGCAAAGTTCTGAAAGATCAGATTTATCGAAGCAGGTCGATAAGAAAAGCCAAGCAGTTCTCGAAATGGCAGATAAAAACTTACACAACTGAAGATATTATTTTAACATTACTCAATATATTACGAAATAGAAATCTCGCAGGAAAAACAAACTGAACGAAACAGTCAAATTACAAATAATAGTTTTTACTGAATACAAAATATTGAACACTGATGCAAAAAAAATGGAACCGCACGACGTGTTCAACAAATTGCAGAACTGCCAAAACGATATATCGATTTTCCGAGTTAGTATTTTCTTCATTATTTAATTGAAATGTTTTATTGTGCAATTAGACAATGACTTGTCTACTTCTTTTCAGAAATTGATAAGTACCGCACCTTTGTACGATTCTACGGACAAAAGTGTGAAAGAATGGCAAACAATACTAGCGCACATTATAAAGATAATCAGTAACAATTCCGAATTGGGGAATGAACGCATTCTTTTGGCGTGCCATGCATTCTATGCGTTGCTTCCGACGCAATGCGACTCGCACGCTCTCAAAGACATCATAATTGGTTTCCAAAAACTGGACTCGTGCAATTTATGTTTCCTCGAGAAGCAATACACCATTTCTGATCTCGAACTCTTCAAGTTACTGAATGCTTATGGATATCTGCAGGTGAATCGGAAAGATGTTCTTGAGATGTGCTTCGAATATGACGCTCTTTTAATTATGTTTGATGTAATATATAGAAATTGTATGAAATATACGAGATATACTTATTTCGCGTATAGAGTATTGTTCGTATGGTTGAAGAGATTAAGGAATACGACGGACGTGCGCTTTTGGGACAAACAGAATTGTGTTTTAGAACAAAAGTTGGAAGCAATTATATTCTCCAATTGGTCCAATGTGCTTAATAATTTATGCAAGCAGAACGCAGAAATTTTCAACATGTATCTCCGGATAATGTTACAGAAACATAAAAAAACATTCATAGATAATGTATATCAGATATGTCTTCAAGACATGTCGTGGCAAAACGAAACAAAATACATTATCCTAACGGAAATTTTACAAGTACATGATATTAAAGTCCAAACTATGCAGTGTTTTTTATTTGAATTATGCAATAGTTTAACAAAAATTTCTTTGCGTTGCGGCGGTACAAAGCTTTATATGACGATTTTAAGGAAACTAAACGAGGCCGAATGGAAGGAAATATTCGGGGAAGTTATGAAATTCGTTATTGACCGCTGGGAGTCGGGAAAGCAGTAAGTTTGTAAATAATTCTTTATCATAAAAAACTTATTTTTTCTTAATGATAAACGATAATTTTTTAATTTATTCCTTTTTGCTTCTTAGGCAGAAAGTTATGTGAAAAAATTATCTGTAAAATTTCCTTATAATATAGAAAAAGTCTTGTGTAATTTTCAAAATTTCTTTTAATACACATTCTAGAATTTAATACGATATAATTAACAATTTTTTTACAGTGTGGATCACAACGCTCTTCAATCATTGTTTACATACTGGCTCGAACCGACTATTGAAATGTACAGAAACATTTTGCCATTTTTATGGGAATTGTGCAGTGATACGCAGGGATACTTTTATCGTTCCCATCTGCAAAGAATGGCCGCTAAAATACATGTAGAGCTGCCGCAAACGCACGAAATTGGTTGTTACATAGACAACAAAGAAGAAATCATCCGATTGAATGCTTTTGCAGTGCTTTGTTATCGTGCTGTTGAGCTAATCAATATTAACGAAGCAGACCCATTTCTTCTGATAAAACAATTTCTGTGGTTTAATGCCAATACCGCAACGATTCTTATGAGAGAAGGAATAATAAAATATTTCAGGATATTGTGTTCGAACATCTTGAAAGCGATCAGCGTTAAAACCGATTGTGTACAATCTATTTCTGAATTTATGAATTGGCTGCACGAATACTTCCTGGATTGTTTCGAAATTGGTTCGTGCTATCAACGCAAAATTCTCGCTTTAAAATTATATGGGATCTTACTCTCTTTTACAAATAAAAATTTCTACAAGAACTACACCCGTCATAAAAAATGCCTTCACAATATTGTAGCGATCGATAAGTACTTGAAGACCACTGATAGTTCAAGTAGGTTACTAAAAGGAATTTTCCTTGGAGGTTTAAGGAATCTTTGTAGGAGGTTTACCAATAAGGAATCTTTGTTCTTGTTATTAAGACTCGTGCTAGACTCTGCAATTGATGTTAGACAACTAGCTAGCACCCTCATTCTGGAATATTTTGGAAAGGATGCTTTGTTAACTACGGAAAAACGCGTAAGAAGCTTGTCATACTTATGTGTTCCCTTAAATTTTTTATGCTTTCGCATATATGAGTTAAGAAAAACTTGAAAGATATATTCCTTAACTAATGTGAACTCTTTTAGAAATCAATAGATTTTAATATATAAAAATTGTAATAAAAATCTTTAGTCTAAACTTTACTAGATAAGAACAAATCTCTTATTCTGGATTGAATTTTACTTTAACATTATTGTAAAAGAAACTTAAATTATAGCTTAATTATCAAGATTCAGAATATTAAAAGTGTAAAAGTTGTATATTAAAATGTATTTTTCTATGAAAAAATGCTAATTTAAAATTGAGCAAAAATCATAATTCTGAATTTTCGAATAAGTTCCTTTTAACAGTAATATTATAATAAAAAAATTCTGACTTTAGATACTCTATAATTGTGCGTGGGAGCATTGTAATTCTTCAAAATTTTACAAAATTGAAAGTGGAGCAATTCTCGTAAAGATAATTGCACATTGGATACCTTTAAACAAGGTTTCTAATGAAGTTTCTAAAAACGCAGCTGCGATATTTTCCGACAATGAGCATAATAATATTCTCGTTTACTCGAGTTATTCAGAATTTCTATTGAATGAAGCTAAATGTCAATTGGCAGAGATAAAAAATGATATTTTAAAAGCCATTGTCAAAAATAGACCATTTTATGGCGTGTTGACCGCTTTATTAGCAGTTGCTTTTCGCGGTGGTCCAGAGAATTGGGTTTTAACACCACAATTTACGGAGAAACTGCTCAGTCTTTTAAAAGACGCTGTTGAGTTCTTTTTATCCACGTTTTCTATCAAAGCATCAAATACAGGTATATATTCAATATTTATAATATTAAAAAATCTGATCTATATTTTACGATTACTACCATCACCAAATATAAAATATTAATTTTCCAGTATTAGAACTTTATAATAATTTATCAGTAACTTATAATTATTAGTAGTAATAATTAGAAATTTTTATTGATGAATAAGATTATGTAATTAAAATAGGTCACTTTTCCTTAATATATCACTTATTAATAGGAATTGTCTGATTTCTGTACAATAATTTTATGTTTAGTTTATTCCTCCTCGTTTGCGGAGATGGGATTGGCTATTGATGAAAAGATAAAAACCAGTGAAATAGAAGATTTTGATTATGACGAATTACAATTGTCACCTGCACATCAAGTACTTATCTCGTGTATTTGGATGTCCTTAAAGGTATATGTTCACTTATTTGCCATGATTAGTTTAATATTATTATATAGAGATCATATACACACATTACAAGATCATACACACACACACACACACACACACACACATATACACACACACATATATATATACATATATATACACAAGATAATTGTTACATTTAATTAAACGAATAAAATTTTTACATAGATATCATGTGAGATCGCTAGTGAAATTGGAATGTTGATACAGTCCAATGCACATGTAAAACGTTCCATAGATATTATTGTTATGGTGCTACTGAAGTGTCGGCATAAAGGCGTAGTAGAATGTGCTGGTGTAACCGTTGCAAATTTATCCAAGTAATTATAAATACGTAAATATTATAATATATATTTTATAAATATATAAATAAGTTAATGCATAAATTAATGTAATGAGTATGTGTTATCATTTGATGTGACAACCATTTGATGTGAGACAACAATAATGAATTTATTCATTAACAATGCAATAATTAATTTAATTAAATTATTTCTTATAATAATTGTTATGATTCTAAACAATTATATTTAAATAAAAAATTATTTTAGATGTTTGTATAACGAAGAGAAGTACTCCGAGCTACCAAAAATATATCTGACGTGTTTGTTAGAAGAAGATACGAAAAAATCGTTGCATTTAACACGACGAGGTGCTGGATTATCAATCATGTTTCACAAATTAGTCGTTAGTGATAATCGGAACAATCGGCCTACAGTACATTTTGCAGTGGGAACATTATTGCACTCGTTGAAAAATATCTCGGTGACAACTGTTAGAAATGTCGAGACCGGAGAAGACTCACCATGGGCGAAACGCCTGCATTTTCTGCGTGCGTTAGTAGCTGACAAGGAAATCCACGCGCAATTAATTCCATATATGGAGGACATTTGTTTAACGTGTTTCAAATACATGGAATCCGATGTTTGGACTGTAAGGTAAAGCGACATCGTTT